ATTGCCTGTCCAGTGTGCCTCAGTGGATTGAGTGGATTGGACTGGACTGAGAGGTCCTGGTTCAATTCTCAGTTTGATTCCAGGCCAGGGCACATGCTCAGGTTGCAGGCTCGATCCCCAGTAGGGGGTGTGCAGGAGGCAGCTGATGGATGTTTCTCTCTCACATGAAGCATTTGTTATTTTGGGACCACAGTTTGTGTTGTGGGATAAATCACTTGGGAGTAATTACGTTGGTGCCTTTGAGATGCAAACTTTTGTTTCTTTTTTTTTTTTTATCCTCACCCGAGGACATTTTTCCATTTTTTCTTCAGATAGAGTGGGAGGGAGGGGGGAGAGAGAGAGAGAGAGAGAGAGAGAGAGAGAGAGAGAGAGAGAGAGAAACATCGACGTGAAAGGGACACATCGAATCGCTGCCACCTGCACGACTAACCAGGGCCGGGGACAAACTGCAACCAAGTTACGTGCCCTTAGCGGGAACCAAACCTGGGTTTCTCTGGACTGCAGGCCAACGCTCTAACCGCTGAGCCAAACTGGCCAGGGCAAAGGTAGGAAATTTGAGCATTAATAAGGATAATAACTACAGTTGATTAAAGCGCATAAATTATGTTTAAATTGGTGAGTTACTAATGATGCTAAAAATAATTGGCCACTTATGAAGAATGAATACTAGGGAGCCATCTTACTTTTTTGAAAACTGGAAATAAAAAGAACGTATTTATTCCATCTTTCCTCTATGAACTGTACCTCAGTGTAACCAAATAGTCGGTAAAAGAAGTTCCTCTTTAAATAATTAGTCCTATTAATACATAAATAATGATAAAATTACAACATCACCATTTTACAACTGCTGATGAAATAATGGATAAATAACTTCTAACATCACAAAGAGAAAAAAACAGTCATACATACTGTTGAAAGTAAGAAAACCACCTATGAAGTATTCCTGCCAAAACAATAAACCTAACTCTGATTAAACCTCTAGATCTTAATACTGTACCAACTTATAGGCAGTACAGGGGACAGGAACAAAAGTGAAACAAAAAATACATGTTGTAATAACCAAAACCCAGACTGTGAAAAATCCTACAAATCAAATGACCCAGTATATTAAAAATAAATAAATTGTAAAAGGGAGATGGAGGAGAAACCTATAGAAAAAGGGACTTAAGAATATATTGACCAATTGCAATTTGAGGACTTCAATTAGATTCTGACTTAAGAAACAAACTGAAGCAGGGGGAACCCTTATGAAGCAGTTGCGGAAATGTGATTACTGACCAGAAATTAGTAGTACTAGAAAATTGTTGTTGTTGTTTTTATTATTGTTATTTTACATACAGGCAGTGGCGGTGGTGGAAGATAAGTGGGTGGGACTACGAATTCCAGGTGTCAAGAGGTGAGGTCATTAGTAAATCTGCATGTAGGGCCCATGAAGATTCTTTAAGCTGTTCTTTCTACTTTTGTCTGAAATTTTCCACGATGAAACATTAAAAAGAAAAATAATGTATTTAAGTTATGTTTTGTTTTGTTTTTTAATCCTTACCCGAGGACATTTTTTTTTTTCCGATATTTTGTTCAGATAGAGTGGGAGGGGGAGAGAGAGAGAAACATCGACGTGAAAGGGACACATCGAGTGGTTGCCACCCACACCACCCAACCAGGGCCGAGGACAAACTGCAACCGAGGTACATGCCCTTAGTGGGAACCGAACCTGGGTCTCTCTGGACCACAGGCTGATGCTCTAACCGCTGAGCCGAACCAGCCAGAGCTTAAGTTATGTTTTTTAACATAAGGAAATTCTTCTCTTTGAAAGACTTCCTACTGGACATCATTGTGGCTCAATAAAATACCTAGGATTGTGGTGACTCATCCTGTTATTATGAGGAAAGCCTACCAAACATTCTTGAAGGCAGAACAGGATAATAGAAACAGCCTGGTTCTTGACAAGTGAGCCACAGAATAAGCCAACTCTGGGTCTGCCTGACCTCTGGATAGCTAGTTACATAGTAATAATTATCTCTCTGTTTTTTGATCCATTCTGAGTTGGCTTCTGTTATTTGCAAGAGACTTACTGAAGGGGTGCTCTCAGGAGAATAGGAGGAAAGCCAGATAAAACAAGGGAGAAAGCTAAGCAAGGATATAATGTCATTATGCTCAATTAATATTTGATAAAGGTGGCAAGATCATATAATGGAGTAAAGACAGCCTCTTTAATAAATGGTGCTGGGAAAATTAGACAACTACATGCAAAAAAATGAAACTAGATCATCAACTTACACTGTACACAAGAATAAACTCAAAATGGATAGAAGACTTAAATGTGACTCATGAATCCATAAAAATCCTAGAACAAAATGTAGGCAACAAAATTTCAGACATCACACGGGGCAGAATTTTTACTGATACAATGCCTAAGGCAAGAGAAACAAAGGAAAAAATTAGTAAGTGGGACTACATCAAACTAAAAAACTTCTACACAGCAAAAGAAACAAAGCATCAAAATGGAAAGAGAACCCACTACTATATGGGACAGCATAATTGCCAACAATACATCGGATAAGGGGTTAATTCCCAAAATATATAGAGTACTCACACAACTCAACAAAAGAAAGACAAAGAATCCAATTTTAAAATGGGCAGAGGCCCAGCTGGGGTGGCTCAGTGGTTGAGCATTGACCCATGTACCAAGAGGTCACTGGTTCAATTCCCGGTCAGGGCACATGCCCAGGTTGTGGGCCTGATCCCTAGTGGGGGACATATAGGAGGCGACCAATCGATGTTCTTTCTCCTTGATGTTTCTATCTCTTACCCTCTCTCTCTAAAATCAATAAAGAAAAAAAATTTTTTTAATGGGCAGAGGACCTAAATAGACACCTCTCCAAACAGGACATACAAATGACCAAGAGACATATGAAAAAATGCTCAACATCACTATTTATCAGAGAGATGCAAATTTAAACAACAATGAGGTATCACCTCACACCTGTCAGAATGGCCGCCATCAACAAATCATCAAACAAGTGCTGGCGAGGGTGTGGAGAAAAGGGACTCTAGTACACTGCTGGTGGGAATGCAGACTGGTGCAGCCACTATGGAAAACAATATGGTGTTACCTCAAAAAATTAAACATTGAACTGCCATTTGATCCAGTGATCCTTCTAGGAGTATATCCTAAGAAGCCTGAGACACCAATCAGAAAGAATATATGTACCCCTATGTTTATAGCAGCACTATTTACAATTGCTAAGGTTTGGAAACAGCCCAAGTGTTCATCAATAGATGAGTGGATAAAAAAGCTGTGATACATATACACAATGGAATACTATGCAGCTATAAGAAAGAAAGATCTCTTATTCTTTGAGACGACATAGAGGATCCTGGAAAGTATTATGCTAAGTTAAATAAGCCAATCAGAGAAAGACAAATATGACATGATCTCACTTATTTGTGGAATGTAATGAACAAAATAAGCTGATGAACAAAATAAACATAGAAGTAGGGTACAGACTGACAAACCTCAGAAGAGAGGGGCAGGGGGAAGGAAGAGATAAACTAAAGAATTTATATGCATATATACATAACCAACGGACATAGGCAACAATGCTGGGGGGGTGGGATCGGAAGAAGAGTGTCAATGGTGGAAATAGGAGAAACATCTGTAACAAAAATTAATTAATTAATAATAATAAATCAATATATATACTAAAAAAATAAAAAGGATGTAATGTCAGTTAGAAACCAGCTTCTGCTGGAGCCCCGGGGGAGCTCTGGAGCATGAGTTGCCCCACAGACTTGGCCCTCTCTGTAGTACGTAGCACTATGGCAGTCAGTTGTGAGCTGCCTGCAACGAGAGGTGTGTGTAACACAGCAGCTGAGAGTAAATGTACTGGCCCATTTAAGGGGCTCTAGACAGAGCTCCCACAGCATCTAGTACAACTCCCCAACTTACTCCAAGTACAGCCCAAACTTACCAGACCCTGCATGATCTAGCCCACCCTGCACAACTGTTCTCTTTCTCTCTGAAAGCATCTCCAACTATTGTCCCTCTTTTTCGCTCCACTTTAGCCACTCTGGCCACCTTGCGACATCTGGAATGATTCTCCTCTGCCCACCCCCCCATGACCTCATGACTTAGTCCCTTATACATCCTTCAGGTTTTACTCACAAGACAGCTTCTAAGTAAGGCTGTCTCTGGCTGCCCCGTCTAAATTGACAATCCCTAACCAACACGTATAACCCTTTCACTTTCATTATTTTCTTTTTAAACACGTATCAGTATCTAATCCACTATGAGGTTTTCTTATTTATCTTGTTTATTGTTTGATCTGTTTATTGTTTGATCATACTCTAGAATATAAACTGGGAAAGGCAGGACTTTTATCATTCTAAAAATTCTCAACTCTTAAAACTGGTAGGTTACAGGTGGTCAGTTAATATTTGTAGATGAATGAATGACTCCTGGCATAAAGTGGAAGTCCTTAATAAACAATGATTAAACTGACCTAAAGTGAAATGGAGAATAGGAGCACAGCCCCCATGCTATATAGACAGGAGAAAGGACACATGTTGCTATATGCAGAGTCCTTAGATTACATGATTTCTTGGATAATATTGCAGTGTTCATGTGATGTTATATGCGTGTATGTTCATTGTATTATTTATATACATAAATATGAGTGAATAAAAATAGAGGCACTAAAGATTTTCAATTTTATTTAAACGAGTTTAAATCAAAACTTGAGAATCTAGATTTACATACATTACAGTAAGGTGAAGGAACAGTAAAATTAAAATGAAGGCAGGTTGTGCAGAGAGCTCAATTCCTATGACAAAAAAACTTAAATCCAAAGATGAAACTCTGTACTGCAATGTCATATTTAGACCCCAGAGACTAGAACACTTCAGACACGTAAAGTCTTAAATCATTCCTGAAACCTATCAGTAGATGGCAAAAATCTTTGAGGCACATTCAAATTTTCTAGAAAAGAAGGCTTAAAAAAAAAAAGCTAAACTGACTAAAACTACAAAAGCAGCTCCCAGAATCCCTCTAGCGTTTTGGTGTCGCTCTGTATAATTAGCCCTGAGCTGTGGCCTCAGCACCAACACGGGCTTCTCCCTCTACAACATCCCCAGCAGAGGATTCTGACCCCACAGGAGGGTGTCCTTCCAGCGCAGCACCTTCACCAAAGCTTTCCTTCTCTGTTGTACCTTCGCCGTCACTGAGGGCAACGCTTTCCTTCTCTGTTGTACCTTCGTCGTCACTGATGGCAACGCCTTGGTTCTCGGTCGTACCTTCTTCATTCCTGATGGCAACGGCTTCATCCGGAGCTGCACTGGTGACCTCCGAGGTCGTTTGGGCACTGACTTGGGCGCTTTCCTCGGCGGCCGCATTTGGGACCTCTGGGCGGGTTTCGGCGCCCACTGCGGTGGTCCCCCCCTGAGCGGCCCCCGCAGCCTCTGGACAGGCCGGAGCCACTGCCCCCACTGCAGCGGTAGCCTCGGAGATTTCTCCCGCATCGACCACCCGAGCCTCCGCCGAAGACACTTCAGGGGCTTCTGCACTTGCTTTCTCTGCTCCTGCAAGGTTCTCCTCTGCACCTGTAAAATGCAGTCCATTCAGCAAAGTATTAATCGAGAGAGCATAGGAAGACAGTGGAACACTGTGCAGTCACCTAAAAATAAATGAGACAGATCTATATGTACTGATATGTAATGGTCTTCAAGGTAGACTAAGGGGAAAAAGTAAGGGAAAGAGCAAGGTATACAGTTTGGTACTATTTGTATTAGGACAGAAGGAGGGTAACTTATATACCTAGATGGCTATATTTGCAAAGACTCTCTTCAAGGGGTTTTAGAGAAATTGGTATTATTGGTTGCCTCTGGGGAAAGAAAATAGGGGATCTGCTTTTCTGCAAACCCTTTGAACATGTTGAACTTAAAAAAAATAATTTACAGCCCTGGCCAGTTTGGCTCATCGGTTAGAGTGTCAGCCCAAGAACCAGAGTCCGGGTTCGGTTCCCCACTAAGGGGCACATACCTTGGTTGCAGTTTGTCCCCAGCCGGTTGGGATTGTGTGGGTGGCAACCATTGATGTGTCTCTCTCACATCATATTTCTCTCTCTCTCTCTTCCCCCCTCTCTCCCTCCTGCTCTATCTGAGAATAAATGCAAAAATGTCCTCAGGTGAAGATAAAAACAAACAAAAACAACAACAAATAATTTACATATATTATTTATTCAAATACAAAGAACAGGAAAATAAATCAGCCAACCCATCATGAGAAATCATGGAAATGTACCCAACTTACCAGCCATTGACTCTGAGGAGTCACTAATTTATTCCCAATCTCAGTTTTGTCATCCTTAAATTGGGGATATTAATGATATCCATTTCACATAACTATTGTGAGGATTGATTAAAACACTGTGTGTAAAAAGGGGTTTAAATCCACTGAAATGCTATGAAAATGCTGCATTTTGTTACTATTACAATCAGCTTTCTTATGATTACATTCAATAATATTTACTAACAACATTCTGTTTCTTATTGTTGTCATGACTGAAAGGTTAAAACTGGTCCATGAGCAGCGGTTATCTCTGTCACCAAACAGTGATCATAGTAATTGATAATAATATTATAGCTGAAATGGAAGACAGTATGATTTAAGCAAACAGTTTAAGGCAACAAATATTTACTTGGGTGAAAATATAAAGTTTTTGTTCCTGTGGTTGCCATTTTATTCATCAGATCAACTGAGGGACTCAACAGACAGGACTGATGCCAAGTGTACTTTGGGCAAAGACACCGGATGGTCTTAGCCAAAACCGAAACAAAAATTAGTTTTATGATTAAAAAAAATAATGCGGAAAATAAAATGTCAAGCTGCTAAGAGGCAGATACTAAAATTATGCCTGCATGAACGGGAGCCTGAGTAGGGAAAAAGTAATATTACCACACAGAGTCAAAACTGCTGGTTTATTAAATGCACTTATTCAAAACATTTAATAATATCCTCTAGGTTTTCATTGGGCTTTTCCTTTTTGAATGAACTCCTACCCAGAGCCATTCTGGATTAAGTTAGTAAAGAAGCCAAAAGCAAGGCTAAGATAATGAAAATCAGAGCCTTAAGGAAAATAATAATAATAATAATAATAAATTCACCTTACCTTGAAGTGACTGTAACTCTGTTGTGGCCTTTTCTTTCAAATTTGTTTTATGTTCAGTATGTTTGACTTGCTCTGATGTTATTGTCCTGTAAGTCTGAAAGCAAATGTGTGCTTAAGTTTATTTCTTGAGCATTTTTTGTCATGTATTATATTCATCATACCAAATTCAAAGGTATATACAATTCAAAGAAAAGAAATCAATGCATATCATCTACTCTTTTATTTCCTTTTTGGAAACCTTTTTCATTAAGTAGAATCCATAAAGAAGGAAAGACGCAAATGCTCTATCCTTGACAAGGGTCAAGGATAACGGAAAACATGCACAGTATACAAAAGACAAAGACAGCTTATAGGGCCAGTAAGCTGCACCAGTGCTGACTGGACCTGTGTAGAAGGACATCCCTGAATTGCATCTCAGGAGCTAGTCAGTCTTATTGTTCAAGGGGCATTTGTCTTACTGCTCATGGGCTAGAACACAGAGTGAGAAAAAACTACTTTAAGCAGAGTAGACGAGATGGTGATATTAGAATAATTCACACTCGTGTGGCCTAGAGAACCTAGCTTTTCCAAAACTAACGGTCAGGCACAGAGTAGAAGAAAGGCCTGTTAGCAGAGAGGCCCTCAAATTTAGACTTTGGAAGTAATTTCCAAATTATATTATTTCTTTATTAAACTTAAGTATTTAATATACCACAATGGGATTGAACACCACCCCATGGACTGAGAGGTCCAAGTTCGATTCCCGGTCAGGGCACCTGCCCGGGGTTGCGGGCTCCATCCCCAGTGGGGGGCATGCAGGAGGGAGCCGACTGATGTTTCTATCTCTCTCTCCCTTTCTCTCTCTCTAAAAAATCAATAAAGCCCTGGTCAGTTTGACCAGAGAGTCCCAGGTTTGGTTCCCACTAATGGCATGTACCTGGGTTGCAGTTTGTCCCCGGCCCTGGTTGGGATCGTGTGGGTGGCAACCACTAGGTGGGTCTCTCTCGCATCGATGTTTCTCTCTCTCTCTCTTACTCCCTCTCTCCTCCTGCTCTATCTGAAAATAAATGCAAAAAAAAAAAAAAAAATCAATAAAAACATACAAAATATACCACAACGTTCATAAAGCAGTCTGGCATTATGTTTTTTAAAATACCTAGACCCTCAAATAGTTGAAATGATGTGAGCCTTCCTCAGATTCGAAGAGGCCCTAGTAGATTTTACTTGGAAATGAAAAACTGCTCTTAGCTACTGAGCATCTATGGATTCAGTTCAGACAAATCTAATACAGAACGTATTGTAGTAAGGACAAGGAAGGGGAGGGGAAGACTAGCATACAGGTTTCCGAGTACCTCACTTTTGGTATGTCTTTCTGAAAGTAGCCTAAGATTCTTAGGAATTCAGGTTTCCAACATTTAAGATTAAAACTACATAATCTTAGAGGTGGAAGGGGACACAGAAATCATCACCTGTCCAACTTCACTCCCATTGTGAGACAGCCAAGCTAGAAAGGGCTCCCAGGAGTAGCCAGTTTATAACTTTCTAGTTTAAGATAGCTTTTGCAAAGAAAGATTTAGCAGACAGGAGAGGTTCGTGTCTCTCACTAGTAAACATAATTAGGGGTATAGTGATACCCAGATGAAGGTAAGTCTTCCACTTCCCACATAATCATAAGGCCTAGTCCAATATCTATTTTTCCAGTGGCGTTATCCAACTGTAGTAGCTGTGGGTAGTGAAGTCAACATTAAGCAGTAGAATGATAGTAGAAGCAAAGGAATCTGGGTATGAGTGAAAGCTGGTAGGTTAGTGGAGGATAAGTGACATGTTTGAAGTTTCCTGGCTTCTTGAGGCTCTCAAAATCCTGAAGGTTAGAATATGTATTTAGATTTGGCCATCTATGTAGTCCTACAAACTGCTCCTAGGTATGACTAAAAATCCCTTTATGCAGTCAAACCAAAACGTAGTGATTGTGTATTCTAGTGGTTTCTAAAGAATTTACTTTTATTCATAATGAAGAGTAGATCTCAATTTAGAAAGTTTATGACAGAATGGGGAATGATTCAATAGGCTTATCTTATTTAATCACAAATGTTTCATTGTTTTAGTTCTAAAATCATATTACTAAAAGCTTTGTTTTGCAGTGATTATCTGGGAGTGGGGTGGATATGGGGACTAGGGAGGAAAACATTGTTTTAATTTTATATATGTCTATTTTGAATTTTTTAAAAACTATAAACATTACTTTTAAAAATAATAAGAGCATATAAAGATATAAAACTAATAAGAAAACTATGGAGACAGTAAAAATATTGGGGAGGGAAGAATGACTAAGGAGCACAAGGGATTTTTAGGGTAGTAGAAATACTCTGGATGATACTGTCATGGTGGAGACATGTCATTACCCATTTGTCAAAACCCATATAATGAACAACACAAAGAGTGAAACCCAGTGTAAGCTATGGACTTCAGTTAGTAGTAATGTATCGACATTGACTGATCAGTAGAAACAAACATACCACACTAAAGCAAGATTGTTGGTAGGGAAAAATGGGGACAGGGACGAGAGGAAGTACATGGGAACTTTCTGTTCATTTTTCTGTAAACCTACAACTGCTCTAAAAAATAAAGTCTATTAAATTTTTTAAAATTATCACCCAAGGATATTTTTCCATTGATTTTTAGATAGAGTAGAAGGGGGTGGGAGGAGAGAGAAACATCAATGTGGAGCAGGAATCGAACCTGTGACCCTTTGGTGTGAGGGCTGATTCTCTAACCGCTGAGCCAAACTGGCCAGGGAAAGGTCTATTAATTTTTTAAAAAGTTAATCCTTCAAAACAGTTCCCATTAAATATTAATAATAGTATCTATCTTATAGAATTGTTGTAATTAGTAAATGAGCCCTGATTGTCACATGACACTCAAATGTTAGCTACTATTATTAGAATTTATAATAACATTGTTTTTATTGAAAGTCACCCATAGTTAGTAGTACTAAGAAATATTGATTTTATACCTGAAAAAGCTTCATAATATTGTTATTTAGTCCCATGTCCTGACCTTAACATTGCTTTGAGTTTTACCACACGTTGTAAAAGATGTGAATTCCTAAACACTATGGTTAAACACTTACATAGTATCCACCAGCACTGACCGTGACACCTACAACCAGATAGTAGATCATATTTGATCCAGATGATCCAGGGAACTTGTTAGACGACACCCAGCGAAGAGATGCTAGAACAACAAGTTTAAAAAACACAGTGAGTTCCACCATTTAAGCAAAACTATTTTAAATAATTATGTTTTTTAAAAATTTTCTACTCAGTGAACCTAGAATCTATTAACATCAAGTGACTTTAGTTTAAGGGAATGTAGTATTATGAGGTATGGTAATGATTCCACTTGACATTTTCCCAGTCTAATTTGACAAGTACTTATGAAACCTGTCATTCTGATGCTTAGCACCATACTTTTCTTGGAAGGAGTTCAGGCATGGGTAAGGAGAAATGACAAAAGCACAAAACAATTTTAACTGTCAAACAAGATGCATATAAGCAGAAGAAATCCATTTACTATGTACACTCTACCACAAGATTTAATGGAAAGGATTATTTTTTTAAAAATGAATTAAATATATTTGTACTTAAAATGTATATGTTAAAAAACACATATACCGGAATCTAACACACTTCTATAAATCTATAATACAAATGTAGATCTGTATTTCTCATATAAAGCCTTTAAAGTGGACAGTGAGGAGCTTTTCTAGGACAAATGTTGCAACAAGATCATATCTAAATAGAATTACAATTCTGTACAAACTAATAGAAATAGATAAAAGTGCTGTATTCTTATATTTAAATATATTTACTCTGTAGTGCTAGAATTTCTATATACCATATTCCCTGGCATTGAATTTTTACAATAGAATCAAAGCTAGAAGGAGCTTAAAGTTCATAGCTCAAATTATTTATTTTACAGATAAAAATGTAGAGACATTTTTTATCCTTTGACAAATACAGTTGAGCACCTATTATGTGTTTGGCATTCTTAGAAACATTAGGCTATAACTGTAAACAAGACACACAAGATTCCTAGCCTCAAGTAGCTCAGTCTAGAAAAAAGGAACAGGTGTCCAGGCACATAATTGTAGACGATACTTTCAATGCAGTATGACAAATGCTCTCATAGATGGAAGTAGAAGCTGTAACAACAGCCTGAAAATGCAGTGGAAAAGCTCAGCTAGTTGGCTCAAGGCAGCTGTCACTACTAAAAAGACCTTATCTGAGTTTTGAAGGAAGTAGGAGTTTGTCAGATAACTAAAGGAAGGGAAAACTGCACTGGAGGCAGAAGGCGCAACATGTGGCCTGAGTTGTGTAACAGGAAAAGGATAAAGGAGTTTAATGTGGCCTGACATAAAGGGTATGGGTGTGGGGACTAGTAAGAACTTATGATTTGCAGAGGGCATGTCTTAAGAAATTTGCACTGATTACGAATCTTTGTAGCAGTAAAATTAGAAAAAAAAATTCACATATATGTTCTTAGTTTGAATATAAATGACCATCTCATAGAAAAAAATATTTTCCCCGTAAATGTGCCCCAGTAGGCTATGATAAGAGGTTATAGTATTGATTTGTAGTGGGGCTTTTGTTAGTTTAAAAATACATCTGTTATCACATAGGGAATATGTAAGTTTTATAGTTGTCAACCAGACATAAATGTCAAAAAGATTTTAAAAATAGGAATAAATAAAATTATTAGAGAGTTAAGTAAAGACTTAAATACAAATACAATTATGGCAAAGTTATTTAAAAGAGCAGTGAAATGGGAAAAAATATTCAATATGGATAAATTAGACAAATTTTAGCATATTCATACAATGGGAAACAAATAGATATAATTTTTCCAAAAGAATATTTACTTGAGAAAATATGTACAATATATTAAGTGAAACATTAATCTCTGTAGGACTATCCAGATTTGTAAAAGCAATCTGCATAAGGAAAAAATGCATGAGGGGAAAAAAGTCTGGACCACTGTATATACTAAAGTGTAAATAATGGTATTCACCGAGTAATAGGATTACAGGTGACTTCTATTTTGCATTTCTGTGTTTTTTTCCAATGCTCTATTATAAACCTAAAATTATTTATTTATTCATTAAAAAGTTACATTTTAAAAGGAAAAACCAAAACCAAAATTTGATGAGGCAATTACATTTTATCCTTCAATAAAACTGAAACAATTTTATTTTTCGTCAAAGTGGAAAGAATCAATGAAAGGTTAATTGATGTCCATGACTGAAGTCAAATATCCACTCAATAATAGTTCTTCAAATACACAAGCAAATCAGTGCTACAAAAAGTAATTAGGTGAACGTTTGAAAAAGACCAGCACTGCTACAACCAGTATTGCTAACTACCTATTTAGAAATTTTAAATCCATTTTCTTTTGCCCCGCGTTGGAGAGGAAATTACTTGAAGCATGTGCAGCTACAAAAAAAAAAAGGTGCGTGATGACAGATGCAGACAGGTAATTCGAAAAAAGGCCAGGTCTTCGGTCTCATCTTTCTCCCCATCCCCCGTATCACAAGAGCCCTTTACCTTCAAAAGTTTAATATGAATAGCTTCTATTTCATCCGTGAAAAAAATTTGCTCTGTTTCATTTGGTATAAAGATCAAGGAAAACGAAGAAGCCTTATTTCTGTTACTTGTAAGACAGCTTCTTCCCATCAGCATTTTAAGAGGAAAATAAAGCTAGCTGGACAGACCTTCCTTCCCTCCCACCACCACCACCTGCACAGGCCTAATCGAAGTGAACATAGAATTTTACGCGAGTCTTTTCTCTCTCTTGAGCTCAGATGCACAAACTGGGCTAAAGCTGCCTGACAAGCCTTAGGAAGAGAGGAGACGCGAAGGGAGAACTGAGATTTTCCACAAAGTGCTCTAGCTGCAGCCCCCCAATTAGGACACGGAAAAGGGAGGGGAGGCCGATGAGGACTCGGAAAGAGCCGGCTGGGGCAGAACCGCAAGCGAGCGTGCGAACCGGGTGCGATTGACAGATACTCCCACGCTCTCACCGAAGTACCTACAGTGTCCCAGGCACCGTGCTAGGTGCTTGCGTACCTGTCAATTAATAAGCTTCCAGCTCGCAGTACAACTTCCCCTGTAGGAAATTTCTGAATACGCTTTCTTTTCCCATGAATTCGCACATCGAAAGGCGATAGATACACGGACGATCGAGGCAAACGGCTGGACAGCTCCAGGTCTATTTGCAGCCACCAAGAAAGTGCTTTGAAGGCCGCTTCCTCGCCGGCGGATGCCCAGGGCCCAGGCTCGTGGGTCGAGGCTGCCGCGACCTGGCCAAGTCTTGAGTTTATTTACTCAAGAGCCTTAACGAACTTCCACTGGGCCGGCACCCTGTCCCGCACCCTGCCGGGCTCTCTGGGCAGTGCCGACCTTCCCCTCCACCCCATGCCTCTGCTTCCCCTTGAACGTGGGGAACACACTGGCCCCTACAGCAATAAAAGTGGTAAGCCAAGCGTGTGTTAACCGGCCACTTTTCTAAGTGCGTCAACTACACATCAACCCATTAAAACTCAACCGTAATAGTCCCCATTTTTAAAAAAGGAAGAAACTAGGTTAAAGCACTTGCCCAACACCAAGATTTGAACTCAGGAAGACGAGTTCGGAATCAGAAGCCGCGCTGGAAAGTTTCTCTACTTTTAAAGTCTCCCAAGAACTTCGGCGTATCTTCCCGCGACCCTTCCTCATTTTGCTCCATCCCCCATCCCCACCCCCACCCCAGGCTTATGCTGCTCCGGGGCGGGTTTGGCCCACTGGGGGCAGACAGGTACAGGGGCGCCCGCAGGATCCGGGCGCGAAGCTCCTGTCCTCTTCTGCTTGGACAGAGCCAGCGCCTGGCACTCACCGTCCTTCCGGAGTGGCGCGGGGCTGGGGGGCGCCCTCAGCGGCAGCGCCAGGGTCTTGGAGACCGCTCTTCGGAGATACATCGCGCCCGCTGAGCCCTGCGCTGCAACCTCTGCCGCCTGCACCCTGGCTGCAGGGCGCGGTGAGCCCAAGCCAGCCCCGCCCCGGGGAGGGGCGCGGACCCCTACCCAGCTCTGCCCCGGAGGCTCTGCGGGGAGGGGGGGGGTGAGTCGTCTGCCCCATCCTCCCTCGACCCTCCTCGAAGCTCTTTTGCTTTTTCCGAAGTCCAAGAAGCTGATGGAGGCATCTCAGAAAAAGGATAGGGAACCCAGAGACGTCGCTGTCACCTGCTTGCCGGCACTATTGCGCTAAATGGAATTCCTCAGTGAACGTTGGAAGTGTTTCGGGGTTCGCATCCGGAATAAGACATACACTTTGGTTACATTCCGGGTGAAATATGAACTCACCTTATCTCACATACCCTCTTAACTCTCCCTAGGAGTGGAAAGGGGGTGGGGAGAGGGGTAGCCTCGGCCTCCCCTCAGTGCGCTGATGTTCAGAATCGTAAAATTCCCAGGCAATGCCTGACTCTAAGCAATTCACTGTTACATTGACTTTATTTTAATTTGATTTGAGAGAGAGAGATTTGTTGTTCCACTTATTTATGCTTCTTGTATGTTCCCTGACCTGTGATGAAACTGCAACCTTGGCTTATGAGAACCCTGTAAGCAATTGAGCTACCCAGCAGGGGCCAAAATGACTTTAAATATAAACTCCAAATACTGTATATTTTTCTATGAAATATGAGACTAGCATTTGCACATCAAATAAAAATGCTGAATTCATCCCCCCCATTTCAATAATTTGTTTGAATATGAAAACCAATCATTTATGTTTATAACATTTTCTAAATGATTAATGTTTGGTAGGGACCATGTCCTACTAGAACCCCTTGGGTGTGTTTGACACTTGACAGTTTATAAAGCACTTTCAAATTTTATTTCCTTTAATTCTCATTTCAACTTTCTAAGGAAGGTGGCAATTATTGAATTATTGCCTTTAGCAAATGACAGGGTGGTGGGGAGGGATGTTTAGGGACTAATAGTCATTTAACAAAAAAAAAAAGGACATGAACATCATTTTTCTAGTTCCAAATTCTCTCCAAGGCATGTTACAGACAACATATTTGCTCATTTGCTACTTAATAACTAAACATTCTTTGGAGACTCTAGTTTTGAACACAGTTCTAATAACATTTAACATAGTCATTTGAAGAGTACAAACCAATGGTCAGAGCGACTTTTTTTTTTTTTTATTCGCAGTAGCTAGCTATTCCTAGGGATCAAACACTTAACAAGAGCAATTAGGTAATCAGCAGTTAAAGACAGTCAAATGTAGGCTTGAAGCAGCAGAGGAAGGGACTAGACCCCAGGCCTCTACCAAGAAGTTAGGTAGTCCTGAAAGTAACAAAATGAAGATTAGTACACTTGCTACCTTTGACCAGCATCAGGTATACATGATTATCTATCTCACTGGTGGTGTAGAATGTTTAATGAACTGCTAGCAACTTGGACAGATTGACCAATAAAACCAAATCTGTCCAGAGCACTCTTAACCACCCCGGTTCAGTGTGACCCAATTTAAAATTTAAAAACAAAAGAACAGCCCTTGCCAGCTTGGCTCAGCATTAGAGCCTGGGCCCCAGGAACGAAGGGTCATGGGTTTGATTCCCAGTTAAGGGCACATACTTGGGTTGCAGGTTCAATCCCTGGCCCAGGTAGGGGTTGTTCAGGGAGACAACCAATTGATGTGTCTCTCTCACATCGATGTTTCTCTCTCTCCTTCCCTCCCTCCCTTCCACTCTATCTCAAAAAATCAGTGGAAAAATATTCTCAGATGAGGATTAACAAAAAAAAAAGAAAGAAAGAAAACAAGTATGTCTACCACTACAGCTCATTCTTTCCTTCTTTAGGGCTGAATTTTTATTTGGTTGCCAGGGAGAATAGTCAAAGGTAGTAAATGCATTTATACTGCATGCATTATAGGTATTTAATGTGTTGGAAGCTTTCCTAAAAATAATTCTTTCTGAATGAACATTTGTAAATGGTGATGGCTCCCAGGACACTATTTTAGGCTCCCCTTTAGAACTAGTGTAAACTTGGGGTCTGGGTGTAATCTGAGTTCTTCTGGATTAGCCCTAGGTTCCATCAGATTGTCTATAAATATCTGTCAAAATGCCTACAATATGCTAGGGCCTGTGCTAGATGCTGGGGATTGGTTATAATTTATTTCACAAACATTTATTGAGAATAATGTTAGGCACTGCTCCAGGGCATTCTTTAATGAGCAAGATATGAATTCTGCTGTCACTCACAGAGGTTAAAGAGACACTGAACCAAGCCCATTGTCAGTGGGGTCAATGATCACAAAGAAATCTCTGGCCAGATATCAATAGTAAATGTAATCTAAGGCTTTTGGTTACAACCGAACTGGTTTAAACAATGCAAAAATAACACGTTATATAGGGCTTTAAAAACTTTTCCCAAAGTGTTGTCACACCTATTTTTCTACTTCATCTTCTTAACACTCTTAAAGAGGTGGGGGGGAATGTTGATTATCACTGTTACATATGAAAAAAATCAAGGTAGTATAACAGTGTGGATAAGAGCCTGAGTTTGGGAGTCAAATACCAGGTCTGATTTACTGGTATGAGTAAAATGTGCATAATTACTGTATTCACAGGGTTGTTGTGAGCGCTAAAGCATGTTGGGTGTGAAACGCTCAGCTAGTTGGTGGGGGCAGTGTAAGATTCTACCTCCAGCTAAGATGAAGCTCGAGGCTCCCTCTCTGCGTCCTGCTGCCTTGCAGTGTACACATGACAGCAACCGCTGTGTTCCACCACCTTATCTGACAGATGGTCACGTCTAGCGGGGAGTTTATCAAGTCCTCTAGATTAGATGTGGCCATCCCAGCGGGGAAAAGCAAAGCCTGAAATAGTGACACTTCTCCAGATCTCTTTTCATCTTAGTTAAAAGCTCATGCCTCTTGGATGAAAGGGAATTTGCTACCTACACTACTGCTCCTGGAAGATATTTGGCCTTCCTGTTTGATGGCAAACTCTCCACATCTTGAAACATTTCTCAAGAGAGGAGACGCTTCTGGGTTGTCAGACTCACTCAGTGGCAAGCTGTTTCTCCCAAACCCGAGAGAATTTTACAATCAAGTCTTTGCTGTAGAAGACTCTGCAGCTTGAGCAAGTTCCCCAACTGTTAGTCACACTGTTTACAATGCTGCCCTTGAGCACATCCTTGACATTTTTTTTTGGTCTTGGAAAAACAAGAATCTAGGGTCAGAGATAACTTGGCTTATCTAAGATGACCTCTACCTAATTGTGACTATTGACAGAGAAACTAGTTTTAAAAACACTGTGAGGTCCTCTACTGACAATATGAATCATACTTACTCAAGGCTTAAGTGCTATATAATTAAAAGCAATTTTCAAAGACTGAGTGATTTCCTAAACTTCAAAAAAACCTAGAAATAGCTTTTTTTCTTTAGCACTAAATTCCTAGGTTATGACCGTACACTTTCAACAGACCAATATGGATATAAAGTGAAACAATTTATTTTAAAATAATTTTTAATCCTCACCCGAGAATATGTTTTTATTGATTTTTAGAGAGAGAGGAAGGGAGAGAGGCAGAGAGAGAAACATCAATTGGTTGTTTCTGGTACGTATCCAGACCAGGTGTCAAACCCACAACCTGGGATGTGCCCTGACCAGGAATCAAACCTGATACCTTTTGGTGTATGGGATGACGCTCCAACCAAGCAACCTGGAAAGGGCTAAAGTGAAACAATTTAGAAGAGTATCTAGGAAGACAAATTAGCAAGCGCCTAAGAAAGTCCTGATAGCCTAAAATATTTAGATAAAATGAAGGGGAGAGGGTAATCAAGACGGTAATTCTAAAACTATTCTTGGAGGTCACTGAGTACTCTCCCTCCTCCCCCATCTACTCACTTTCTCTTCTGTAGCAAAATAAACATGATATTCTGAATACTTCTGTATTATTTTCCTAAGGCTACCATAACAAATTACTACACACTTGGATGGCTTAAAGTAGAAATTTATTCTCTCACAGTGCTAGAGGCTAGGACTCTGAAATCAAGGTGTTGGCAGAGCCATGCCCTCTCTGAAACTGTATGGGAGAATCCTTCCTTGCCTCTTCTAGTTTCTGATGTTTGCTGGTAATCCTTGGGTTATAGATGCATCATTTCAATCTCTGCCTCCATCATTACATAGTTGTCTTCTCCCTGTGTCATCTCTGTCTTTTCACTTCTTTTTTTTTTTTTTTTTTTTTTTTTTTTTTAAAACATTTTTATTTATTTATTTTTTTAATACTCATCAGAGGACATTTTTCCATTTTTTGTACAGACAGAGTGGGAGGGAGAGAGAGGAAGAGAGAGAGAGAGGGAAACATCAATGTGAAAGGGACACATCGAGTGGCTGCCACCCGCACGACCAACCAGGGCCGGGGACAAACTGCAACCGAGGTACATGCCCTTAGCGGGAACCGAACCCGGGCCTCTCCAGACCGCAGGCGGACGCTCTAACCGCTGAGCCAAACCGGCCAGGGCTGTCTTTTCACTTCTTATAAATATATCAGTCATCCTGGATTAAGGACCCACCCTACTCCAGTATGAACTCACCTTAACAAATTACATCTGCAATGACCTTACTTCCAAATTAGATCACATTCTGAGATGCTGGGGATTAGGACTTCAACATATCTTTTGGGGGGCCATAATTCAACCCATAACCACTTATAGTTGAAATTTATATAGCCTGTTTTTTCCCATAGCAACTTAAGAAAAGAAGTTGCTATCTCACAAACACTAAATCTGAAAAAAGTACTACCTGATTTTGATCTAATAAAAAACTTGACTGTATTTGACATACAACTACATTTTGTTTGCATCCTCTTTTTCATGGGAAGTCTCACAAGATTTCTAAAGGAACCATCATTTGACCACAGTTCCTCTTGGGAATTTGGAATCAGAATGAACCCAGCTGGTGTGGCTCAGTGGTTGAGCATAGACCCATGCACCAAGAGGTCACCAATTCAATTCCTGGTCAGGGCACGTGCCCAGTGGGGGGCATGCAAGATATGGTCAATGTTCTCTCTCATCAATGTTTCTATCTCTATCTTACCTTCCTCTCTAAAAATAAATAAAGGCCTAGGCCAGTTTGACTCAGCGGTAGAACGTTGGCCCATGGACCAATGAGTTGGTTTCGATTCCAGACAAGGGCACATTCCTCGGTTGCGGTTTGTCCCGGGCTCTGGTCAGGGTTGTGGGGGAGGCAACCAGTCAATGTGTCCCTCTCACGTCGATGTTCTCTCTCTCTCTCTCTCCTTCGCACTCTATCTGAAGATAAACAGAAAAATATCCTTGGGTGAGGATTTAAAAATTTAAATATAAATAAAGAAAAAATAAATAGAATCAGAATGATTTTTGTTCAGTCCAGTTACTCCCTTGAACTGAAATGTAAACCCAGGAACTTAGGACTGTGGCCATCTCTTTACAATGTGGATTGGGGAAGAGGTCTGCATGCAGAGGCTTCACAGCAGATACACAGACAGCAGAGCCAAGAGCAAAAATCTTGATGACATTTGAGTCCCAGGCCCCAATTATTTCTGAGGCCAGGTATATTTCTACTCTTGGGGTCTATGAGTCACTCTATATCCTCATAATCTTCTTCTAACTTAACATAGTTTGAATTAAGTTTCAATATTTAATTTAGAAAGTTTTTTGTTTTGTTTTTTACCAGCAATATTATGTAGCACAACTCTAGAAAGTATTTACTCATAGCACAATCTACATCTGTGCTACCTGCCCCTTGTGGCTACTTAACTATAATTAAATATGATAAATTCAGCCACATTAATCACATTCCAAATGCTCAGTGGCCACACGGGAGTAGTGGCTGCTACACTGGACCACAGACAGAACATTTCCATCACTGCGGACCGGTCTCGGACAGCCCTGGTCTTCACCAATGGCTCCCCCTGGAGTTATACAGGCACAATCAAGAAAAAAGTCCACACAGGGTTGCTATTCTCAAGGCCAGACATACAGTAGACATTGGTCTATTGCAGTTATATTTTATTTTCAATTAAATTCAGTGTCCAGAATTTCAAGTGTCTTAGAGTTTTCTGTTTCCTTTAGGAAAATGAATTTTTAAGTGTTTTATTGGAAAGTGCCTTGAATTGGGAGTTGATACCGGACTTTTTGGTCTCTGTTGCCATGTGACAAAAGTAGTTTCCTACTGCTGCTACCACAAGCTCAATGTTAAAACAGACAAGATTCACCCTGGCCGGTTTGGTTCAGTAGTTAGAGCATTGGCTCACAGACAAATACATCACAGGTTCGATGCCGGTCAAGGGAGGGCACATACCTCAGTTGTGGTTCATTCGTCCCAGCCCTGGTTGGGTTGTACAGGAGGCAACCAGTCTTTCTTGCATCGATGATTTTCCCTCTCTCCCTCCCTCCCACTCTTATCTGATGAAAAATATCTGGGTGAGGATTAAAAAAAACACAGAAAAGATTTATTGTCTTTCAGTTTTGTAGGTGAGAAATCTGACATAGGTCTCAGTGGTCTAAAATCAAGGTGACAACAGCCAGCCGGTGTGGCTCAGTGGTTGAGCATCAATCCATGCACCAAGAGGCCACCGGTTTGATTCCCAGTCAAGGCACATGCCCAGGCTGTGGGACAAATCCCCAGTGGAGGGCATGTAGGAGGCAGCCAATTGATGTTCTATTTTTTTTTCCTTTATTGATTTAAAAAAAATTTTTTTCTTTATTAATTTTAGGGAGAGGGAGAGAGAGATAGAAACATCGATGAGAGAGAACATCAATTGGCCGCCTCCTGCATGCTCCCCACTAGGGATCTGGCTCACAACCTGGGCATGTGCTCTGACTGGGAATTGAACCGATGACCTCTTGGTACATGGGTCAACACTCAACCACTGAGGCACACTGGCCGGGCCAATCAATGTGCTCTTTCATCGATATTTCCATTGCTCTTCCCCACCCCACCCCTAAAATCTATAAAAAGAAACAAAAGTTATAAAATCAAGGTGACAACAGGTTGTGTGACTTTGACTTTTCCAATCTTTGGCTCTTGGCCCCCTTTCATCTTCAAAGGTAGCAATGGCCAGCTGAGTCTTACATCACTTCACTTTCACACACAATCATGCACCCATCTTCTACTGATGGACCCTTGTGATTACAAGGGGCCCAACCAGCTAATCCAGGATAATCTCCCCATCTCAATGCCAGCTGATTAGCAAACTTAATTGCATCTACAGCCTTAATTCCCCTTTGCCATGTAACCTAACCTGTACACAGATTCCAGGGAGTAGGACATGGTCATCTTTGGGGGTCCATTATTCTACCTACCACAGTGATATTGGGCAAACCAGTGGTTGGCATGTAGGAGGCAGCCAATTGATGTTCACCTCTAGTTTTGCATTTGTAAAATTATGAGCTTAGTCTGGATGACCCCTAAGGTCCTTTCAACTCTATTAACTAGGACTCCAAATTGACAACAGTTAATAGTTAATGCTAATTAATAGTTAATGCAAATTAGCAGGGCTCATTTGGTCTTTCACTGAATTTGGATTAAATAATTATTCCAAAATAAAGTAACTTTAAATTTATATTCAGAAGTGACTTACCAAGGCATTGTCATGAATCTCCCACAATAAGTGCTGGCCAGGGCCCCAAACACACATAAAGCCAATTATAAGGCAATAAACCTTTCCACTTAACATCAGAATGAAGACACATAATTTTTTTAATGTGTGGTATACTAAGTGTTTAAATTACAAGTTAACAAAGTGGCATATAAATACGTTTTAACTGATTCACAAGAAAGTTGTGATGAGGAAAAACAGTCAGGAGTTTGCTAACCACTGGATGAAAGTATCATTAGCAGAAAAGGGACAACAAACTTCGTGTTGCCATAACCAGTCATCCAAGTGAAAAATCACTCAAATTCAAAGAAATGGAGTGAGAAGAAACTCTGATAATAGAATTTAACTTTACTTCTGAGTTAACCAAAATGACTCCTTTAGAAGAAAAGAGTATTTGGGCTCTTTTGTATTTTGAGTAATAAAGTAGTTCCATCACCCTGATGCACTAATGAACATGTGTTTTGATTAGAAATGAAAAGTTAATATAAAGAGTAAATCCTTTCTTAGTGATTTTTTAATCTATCTCCTTAAGTTTTCCTACCAATGGGCCCTTAATTACCACTGACCCTGTTATCATATGGTACCTTGATAATACTTCTAATAATATACCTTAGAATTGACATTTTCTACACAGGCACAATATATACAATCTGAACAATACAGATTTATTTTTATTTTTTCATTTAATGATGCAAAACACAAATGCTGACAACATACATTCACATATAACTTTTCTCTTACGTTTCCAACTCAACAGATTGGAAATGCTTTAATCGCTATTTGGAGCATACCTACAAGGAAGAGGAAAAAAAATTAAATTATAGCACTAACCAGCAGAAATATTAAAATTAGACTGTCTTGAATAATTCACCTTAGAGCACCAAGGAAAGTCTAGGTAACAAATCCCTAACCCTAACCTTTCATTTCAAGTGTTAGCAAAAAATATTTTAATTGAACTACATAAAAGTAGCGAAAGCACCTGGTTTTGATGTAAATATCTATTTCATTTTTATCTCTTTCTCTTTTTTTTATACTCACCTGAGGACATTTTTTCCATTTTTTGTTCAGATAGAGTGAGAGGGAGGGAGGGAGGGGGAGGGAGAGAGAGAGAGAAAGAGAAAAACATCAATGTGAAAGGGACACATTGAGTGGCTGCCACCCGCACAACCCAACCAGGGCTGGGGACAGACTGAACCGAGGTACATGCCCTTAGTGGGAACCGAACTCAGGTCTCTCTGGAACGCAGGCCAACGCTCTAACCACTGAGCAAAACCGGCCAGGGCTCATTTTTATCTCTTGACTGGTTAACTGAAGTAGTGATATAGGCAAGGTGATATTAATTTTTTTTTAAAAGGCAAAAAATTTGGATAATCAAATCCTAAAGAGCTGAGTTTGAGAGTTAAATATGGGAGAGAAAGTATACATTAGTGGTTACTATTATACTCAGCAGAAATAAGTTGTCTACTTTAATCAACCTAATCTCTCTCTCTCTCTCTCTATCTGTATATATAATATATATAAACTCATTCTTTCTTTCTTTTTATTTATTTATTTATTTATTTTTTATCCTCACTCGAGGACATTTTTCCATTTTTTGTTCAGATAGAGCGGGAGGGAGACAGAGGAAGAGAGAGAGAGAGAGAGAGAAACATCGATGTGAAGGGACACATCGAGTGGCTGCCACCCGCACAACCAACCAGGGCCGGGGACAAACTGCAACTGAGGTACGTGCCCTTAGCGGGAACCGAACCCAGATCTCTCTGTACCACAGGCCGACACTCCAACCGCTGAGCCGAACCGGCCAGGGCTCATTCTTTCTTTAAGTCACAGAATCACAGACCATATAGAGTATGCTTGCTACCTTGTTCACAGCTATGTTTTACCAGGAATTGTACAATTGGGTGTTAGTTATAGTAACAATCATAATGAAACGGTCATGCCGTAAAACTTAACAATCTACTGCCTGCCCTTATACATTTGTCTATCCAACAAATATAAAACTCCTAGTTGGATCAGGCACTGAGCAAGTTGTTGCGTACATGATGATTCATAAAATAGACAGGGTTCCTGTTCTCATGGAATTTACATTCAAATGTGGGATATGACAAACAGATATTAAAAAATATATATACTAATAATGACAACTTATCATAAGTGCTATGAAGGCACTGTGTATAGCCCTATTAGATTTAATAAAATAAAATGATTTTGGTTTCATTCTTAAACATAACTCTTTGAACACAGGCAGAGCATAATGGTTAAAAATGATTTTGCTAACTGATGCTTGGTCAAGGTATTAAAAATTCATAGATTTGTCAAAGACAGAAATTTAGGTGCTAAAAAGCATAAACCTAATTTTAAAAAAACAACCAAATACATTATTTAAAAAGTTCAAATTAACTAGCATAATCTATTCATCCTAGAAAACTGCATACTTACTGTATTAGTATTTAAAAAGTTTATTCCAACCCATTTCTTCTTTTATACTCTAAAACATCTTCATTATGTTGTCTGATGAGCTAGAAGGAGGTAAGAGTTAAAATTAGAAATGTTATCATCCTGGCAAATTAAAGAGGAGGAAGCTAACTAATATTTATATTTTGCAAAGGAATGAGGATAGATTAAAAGAATTACAACTATTCTAGTTAGAAATAAAAGGCTAAGTAAAAGATGCAAAAGTCCAAAAATTGTAAAGTATGTGCCTGTTCATCACAATCTGACATACTCAATTTGAGAAGGCAACACTTAAAAGTTTAAATTCAACTCTTGCCAACTAAATTACTTCATTCAGTAGGTAGTTAATGAAATGCCTTACCACAGAGGAGCTAAACCAACACAACAAAGCAGGACTTGGTTATTAAATGGGGTTTGGGCTGGTTGGTGGGTATGTATTATAATTTTAACCTTACAAATTTGATACTGTGAGTGAATAAACAACCCCACCCCCAACTATATGTGAATTAGATGTCATGGAGGACAGCTACTTTCTTAGAACCACTGTCTGACAATACCTAAGTAGAATAATGGTTGATATAGGGTGACATTCACTGCAATCAAAGATTTAATTTCAATGACAGCTCTCAGCAGCAATCAAGCTCCTTTTTAGGCAAACTTTAAGAATGTATAAAATTTCATTATAACATTATTTTTTTTTACTGATGAGAGAGAGAGAAACATCGATTTGCTATTCCACTTATCTATGCATTCACTGGTTGATTCTTGGATGTGCCCTGACTAGGAATCACACCTGCTACCTTGGCATATAGGGAGGACGCTCCAACCATCTGAGCTACCTGGCTAGGGTCATTATAACATTATTTTAAAAAGGATTAGTTATTGTTGTTAGGTTGTGACTTTCAACATCTCTTGCTCCTTCCCATTTGAAAGAGCTGAACCACTGTATTTACTTATTTATTTTTAATATGTTTTTATTTATTTTTAGAGATAGGGAAGGGAGAGGGAGAAACATCGATGAGAGAAGAACATTGAATGGCTGCCTCCTGCAAGCCCCCTACTGTGGATTGAGCCTGAAACCTGGGCATGTGCCCTGACTGGGAATTGAACCTGTGACCTCTTGATCCATGAGTCGATGATGCTCAACCACTGAGCCACACCAGTTGAGCAAGCTGAACCACTTTAATGCGGAAAATCCAAAATAAGAGATCCAGAGTTGGAGCTGGGGGCAGTGGAGAAGTCCCAAACCCATTAGGTACAAAACAAAAATTTTAAATATTAATGTAGCACAGATACTTTGAGTCAACTTTTTAAAAAGTTATCTATAGGGAGCCAATATTTCAGAGTGCTCTATAGTGTAACTAGCTCTGAAGTTAGAGAGTTAGAAGTTAGAAATTAGTTCAGCAAACTAATTTCTCCAAGTGTTTTCCTCATCTGTTAAAGGTCAATGGATAATAGGACCTACCCCAATAACAGTACCTACCACAATAATAATACCTACCACATTGTGTAGTTGAGAATATTAAATAAGTTTTTATATATAAAGCATTTGGCATATTGTAAAGGACCCCCCCCCCCCCACTAAGTACAATTTCCAACAAAAGGTGCTACCCACTAAGTACAATTTCCAACAATGTATTTATACAAACCAATGATTAAACTCTTATGTTTTGGAAGTCTAACAGGATTTAATTTATATAGATTGTTCACTGATGGTTTGTCTCTATAGCATCGGAGAAAAGTGCCTTCATAAAACCCCAACCAGCCTCCATCCTCATTAAAAACTAAAATAGCCCCGGCCTATTTGACCTAGCAGTTAGAGCATCAGCCCTCCCACCGAAGGTCTCCTGGTTCCATTCTCTGTCCAGGGCAGGTACCTGGGTTGCAGGCTGGATCCTACCCCTGGTCAGGGTCGTGTGGGCGGCAACCCATCCATGTGTCTCTCTCCCATCAATGTTTCTCCCTCCCCTGTCCCTCTCCCTCTCCCCCTCCCCCTCTCCCTTCCACTCTAAAAATCAATCGAAAAATGTCCTCGGGTGAGGATAAAAATAAAAATAAATAAAATAAAGGCTAATATGTAGTAAAACTGCCATTCATAACAAAACCATGCTAAGTAGCAACGAATGACAGAAATTTCAGCTTCATCCTGTTTTCTCATGCCACTGAAATCTTACTGTGAGTCCTTGGGATTTCCAGAGAAGTATGTTGTCAGCGATTATATAACTATCCTACTGCGTGAGAGATTTGCTCACAGCCTTCCATCTCACACGTGTTTCTCCTCCCCACTGTGTCCGGGGCGGGGGGTCACACGACAGAAGGGGGTCAAGACTTACACAGATCCACAAGAAGACGGAAGTGCCCAAGGTCAACCCAACTTTCAGCCAGTCGGGCTTGTCGTGTAGCGGCTCCCGAACATAGAACTTTGACCGCGCGGCCGCTGAAAGGGGACAGGGAGTCTGTAAATCTGTAACTTGTCTCCTTGTTGGAAAAAGCATGTGCATTATCACATTTAATTCTCCCTTCAACCCCCTCCCCTTTAAACGGCCAAGGAAACAGAGGTTCAGAGAGGTCAAGTAACTCGCCCTGGGCCACCGGCAGAGCCCGACCGGTCGCCCCTGCCCCCCAGACGCCTTCAAAGACTCGGGAGTGGGCGGGTAGGAAGGGCCCCCAGGAGGGTCTTCCCTCTGGCAAAGAGGGGGGAGGGGGAACCCAAGGTCCATTCGCACAGACCCAGAGAGGTCGGGAGGTACTTGGAAGAGGGTCGGCGGTGATGGGGAACCGGGAGTCAGGGGTGGAGCCAGGCGTGGGCTCCGGGACACAGGGCGGCGAAGGTCACTGCAGGACGAGCCCGGGCGGCGGCCACCCCTCGCCCCCGCGAGCTGGGTCCTCCCGGGGAAGGGCAGGCTGGGCAGGCTGGGCAGGCGGGGGGGCCTGCACGCGGAGGGACACTCACAGCCGCTCGGGAGCCGGGCCGGGGCCAGCAGCCTGGAGAAGGAGCGCACCCACGCGGACGGCGCCATCTTGCCGGGCCGGCTCCGCCCCCTCCGGCCGGATCTCTCGCAGGCGCCGCGGGCCGAGCGTCCCCTGGCGGAGGAGGCCGGGGACTCGCCGGCGCCGCGGCCGGCCGCCCCGAGGCATTGACTGAGAGTCGGTTACAGCAGGTACTCTAACTCCGGTCTCTGTCTCCCGTCTGTAAAATGGGGTTCGGCAGGAAATGGTTCAAGGTGTGTGTGGTGGGGCAGGGAGGAGGGAGGAAGAGGCAGTTTATCCTCTTCTCTGTCCTCTGAGAGTTTATTTCAGGCCCCTCCCCCGTGACACCTATCAAGAGATTTACTAAAATCTACGCCAGGAGCCAGAACACTGAAAGTGAAGTGTGTTGAAAAATAGCTGGCATGTTGGTTGAATTCTGTGTTCCAGGCACTGTGCATTAATGCATCATGTAGTTTATATGCATTGTCTCTTTTCATCTTCACCGCATGACCGCATGACATGCTGTGATTTTTATCTTCAATTTACTGTGAAGCTCAAAGAAGATAAGCTATTCATCCAAGATATGTTATACCTTATATTTGGAAAGACCTCTGACAGTTCCTAAAGCCTGTTTACTCGCGCTATCATAGGAAAGCCTGACAACCCAGTGAGGAAAAGAGAATCCTTGAATTTGAAAATAAGTGCCCTGATCCACTCAAGATCACACAACTGGGGGAGGTGGGATTCAGATTAAGGTCTTCTGATCTTAGATTTTGGTGATCCTTTTTTTTTTTTTTTCTTTAAGAGATCCTCCTTAGCCCACCTAACAGTCCCCTGGGGCCATGAGATGAAGGGCGGGGTTCAAAGTGCCATTCCTGTTCACACCTCTTTAGCTGCTTGAATTTTAGGCAAATTACTTAACCTCTCTATGCCTGTTTTACATCTGCAACATAAAACCAACTTGTCCTATAGAGCTCCACCAGTGTGGCTCAGTGGACTGAGCACAGTCCCATCGACTGAGGTCCTGGTTAGATTCCCGGTCAGGGCACATGCCTGGGTTGTGCGCTGGAGCCCCAGTAAGGGACATGCAGGAGGCAGCCAATCAGTGTTTCTCACATTGATGTTTTTCTCTCTCCCTTCCTCTCTCTCTCTTTAAAAAAAAAAATGAATAAAAACAATTTTTAAAAACCTATCCTATAGGGTCCTTGGGACACATAGTTTGTAAACAACTTGGTTTTGCCTGTGAAAGACATCATTCAGTAGGTTTTGTCTTTCACAGTTGAACCAGATTTTTGTGCAGTCAATTCTCAATTTGATCTGATGTGTAAAGACTTAGTAAAAACATGTATAGGTAAAAGAGATAATAAATTTTAATAATTTAACTCTAATCCTTTATACAGTATGCCATTTAGATTCATTTTAAAAGCAAAATAAATGTTAGCAAATCTCTTTTCCTTCTATATTTTCTTTAGCTGTGTAATTGAAAAACATTTTAACCCAAAATTATTAACTAAAGAGTGAAATAATTGTATTATGCTTTCTGGTTCATTTTCACATGTAATTGATAGCTAAATAGACTGCTAAATTGTGAGTTACTTTATAGTTTGTAACCTAGTTTGAGCCTCCTGGACCCAGGCTCAAGTAAGCAAACCACGCAGCTAATATGCTGACTCAGTTGTTGGGTCTCAACTTCTTCTCTTCTTGTCCACTCAGCAACCTGTCAGTTGTATATCCTTTCTACACCATCCCTTGTAAGCTTGTCCTGACACAGCTTTTGCTTGTATCCAACAAGTTGGAACAGAAGCCTGATTTAGTCAGAGCACACAGAGCCAGTAAGCAAATTGCCAGTTTCGGTACTGCTACTGGAAAAGGCAGTTTTGTTTTTTTGGCCCCTGGATCCTTTTACTGGTGTATATTTTGGGAGAGTGATCAAGTATAAGCACATTTCTCTCATCTATTTAGATGCTTAGCTTCTGGTGGAAACTACTGTTTGTTTCAAAGCACAGGAAATTTTCTTCACCTAAGGGGAAAACAGTATATTATTTACAGAAGAAATTTAGAAAACTATAGCAAAAAATATTGCTATAGGGTCGTTTGGCTATGAAGCCATCCCTAACTCTAAATATAAACCTAACCCTAAACCTAAACATAACTGTAAACCTAAATCTAACCGTAACCCTAAAAGTAATCTAACTCTAACCCTACACCAAACCCTAACCATAACCCTAAACCTAACTCTACCACACCCTAAACCTAATACCTACCAGTAACCATAAACCTAACTTTAATCCTAAATGTAATTCTAACCCTAACACTAAACCTAACTCTAACTCTAATTCTAACCTTAAAGAAAACCTTAAACCTGAAGTTAGGCAATTTTTCTATCTTTTTATAGTTCAGATAGTCAAAAGAAAGACCTTTCAAAAGGGACAATGAAGTTCAAATGTTATTACAAATTTACAACTGTTTTTATAAATTCTAAGTTTGTACTTGGTTTTTGTGTGTGTGTGTGTGTGTGTGTGTGTGTGTGTGTGTGTTTATCCTCACCCGAGGACATTTTTCCATATTTTTGTTCAGATAGAGTGGGAGAGGGAGAGAGAGAGAGAGAAACATCTACGCGAAAGGGACACAGCGAGCGGCTGCCACCCGCACAACCCAACCAGGGCCGGGGACAAACTGCAACCGAGGTACATGCCCTTAGCGGGAACCGAACCCGGGTCTCTCAGACCGCAGGCTGACGCTCTAACCGCTGAGCCAAACCGGCCAGGGCTGTTCTTGGTTCTAAAAAAGATTGAAAACTGGCCATATTCCAGCCCCGACCAGTGTTGCCCAATGGTTAGAGCGCTGCCTGAGGGCAGGTACCTGGGTTCAAGTTCGATCCCCATCCAGGTCCAGGTCCTGTGGGAAGCAGCCAATCGATTTGGATGTGTGTCTCTCACATCCGTTTCTCTCTCTCCCTGCCTCCCTTCCACTCTCTAAAAAGTTGATGGAAAAGTATCCTCCTGTCAGGATTAACAATAACCAAAAACAACACAAAACTGGCCACATTCCAAAACTCAAACTCGGTTTCCTGTAGATACAATTTTCTTTCTTTCTTTCTTTTTTTTATCCTCACTCAAGGACATTTTTCCATTTTTTTGTTCAGATAGAGTGGGAGGGGGGAGAGAGAGAGAGAAACATTGACGTGAAGGGGACACATCGAGTGGCTGCCACCCATATGACCCAACCAGGGCCAGGGACAAACTGCAACCCAGATACATGCCCTTAGCGGGAACGGAACCCAGGTCTCTCTGGACCGCAGGCCAACGCTCTAACCACTGAGCAAAGGCAGCCAGGGCTAGATACAATTTTCTTAATGAAACTTTTGAAGAGAGATCACAGAAATTGAGGAGATCCCATGATTTGACTACTAAAACCTTATTTATGACCCAGGCAAAAGGAGAAGGCATTCAAGATAGCAGAAAACCCAAGCATTAGTCCCAGATTTTTCCACTGGGAAACATCTTACTTAACTCACACCTTCGAGAAGTTAAGGAAGAGGAAGCTGAAAACAGTAAAATATCTGGGTAAATAATTTAAAAGAGCAAAGTTACTGCACATATTATTTAAAGATTCATGATGCAATAATGCTATGGATGGAATTCAGGATCTGGAGAGAGATAATCATAATATGGGTACAAATGGCTCAAATGATATGAAAAACTATAGATTATTGATGGAATGCCACTTTTAAAACTTAGTTTTAATGTGATTGCTTTTTGTTTTTTGTTTTTTTTAATCCTCACTCGAGGATATTTTTTCCATTTTTTTGTACAGATAGAGTGGGAGGGAGAGAGAGGAAGGGAGAGAGAGAGAGAAACATCGACGTGAAGGGACACATCGAGTGGCTGCCACCCGCACGACCAACCAAGGCCGGGGACAAACTGCAACCGAAGTACGTGCCCTTAGCGGGAACCGAACCCGGGTCTCTCTGGACCGCAGGCCAACGCTCTAACCGCTGAGCCAAACTGGCCAGGGCTTAATGTGATTGTTAATGAAATGACATATATGTGGAAGAGGCCCTAGTAAGTATCTAGTCTGACCTTGTCTACTGCAGTAGTATTCTAGTATTCTTGCCAGATACTCACAGGCTTCTAAGACTTGAGGATTTCTGGTGATGGGGAGTTCAATGAGTCATAGTGTCAACCACTAGCTTGAGGGCAGCTCCAGGGGAGTCAGTGTCCCTAATTCCCCTACCTCAAAGTGACTCAGATAGTCGTCAACCCTGCATTGTATGGCCTCACCCATGACATAAAAACACTCACTTTAAAGTTCGGGTTCTTCATTGGCAGTGCAAAATGACACTTGGGATCTGGCTGACTACCTTTCTAGGTTCGTATGAAGGAGTAAACTAAATCACCGGTACCCCGGCCAAGCCCATTTAATTACTCAAGCTCTTTCAGTTTTTAGACTTCATTAAGCCCCCTTGTCTCCGTGTCTGTTTACAAGCCACGCTGGCGTGAAGCCTTCCTTTTCTCTCCGCCTCTGCTACTTAATTCGGCACCTCGTCCACGATCTTGAACACCTGCCTTTCAGCACTTAAGGTTCAAGCTATGATCAGTCTGGGAGAGTCGATCCAATGAATGAAAGGCCCGTCCAGCAGTAGAAAGACTATTTTTAATGCAGAGGCTGTCGCAACCGGAGAGGACCACGGTCCTCGCCCCCTCAGCGCCTCGAAAACCCTCAACATCCAGAGGGTGGGCGGGGCCTGCTGCGACCCTCTCTGCTCAGGCCTGCCTGCCCTCCTCCAAGTTTCCCAGCAAGCTCCAGGACAGAGGAGGTGGGGAAAGGAGGTCATCGCGCTTGCGTACTAGGAGGTGTGACCCGGGTGGGAAAGCCCTTCGCGTCCGCCATTTTGGCTGCCTCTGTCGGTCTGTTCAGTTACCACGTGAACCGCCGACGGAGACCCGTGGTGGGTGGGGGGAGGCGGCGGCAGCGTTAAGTGAGAAGGGAAAAAAGACAACGAGGGGGACGGGGGTGTCGGGGTTGGGCGACGCGGTGACACCGAGGCCTGGTCGCGGCGGTGGATCGGGGCAATCAAGGC